GTTTCACCTGCATCTATGGCAAGCATCCTCAAACGTAGTGACCTCTGGCTGCTCCCTGCCTGGGGGAATCCAAGAGGGATTCTCTCACCTCTGCAGGAGTCTACTGTATACCACGCAGCTACATAGGGACCACCAAACGCAGCATTGCCCAAAAACGAAACAAGGGACATGAAAGATTCTGCAGACTAATCCAACCAGAGAAACCAGCCATAGCAGAGCACCTCATGAACCAACCTGGACACAGCATATTATTTAAGAACACAAAAATGCCGGACAACTCTCACAACCACCATGTCAGGCTAGTCAGAGAAGCCACTGAAATCCACAAGCATGTGGACAAATTTAACAGAAAGCAGGAAACCAGGAAAATAAACAAAATCTGTTTACCAGTATTTAAAAAACTCTAAAATCAAGACAGTAAATAAAAAAACAACATAAAAAACAGGGGAATTCCAGACAACAATGTGATGGGGGAAAAGGGAAGGGCCCGAGGCTGTTAGGAATGGTGGGAGTTGAAGTTTAAAACACTTGGAGGGCCAAAGTTAGCCCATGCATGCTCTAGACAGATTTCTATGTCATATTATGTGGTTATATAGACTGGACAATGGAAAGTGTCTAGAGCAGGGGTCCTCAGACTTTTTAAACAGAAAGCCAGGTCAAAGTTCCTAAAAACGTTAGAGGGCCGGATTAAAATTTGAAAAAAAAATGCACACTGCATATATGTAATTTGTAGTGCAAAAAACACTTTAAAACAATATAATAATTAAAATGAAGAACAAATATAAACTTATTAGTATTTCAATGGGATGTGTGGGTTTGCTTTTGGCTGATGAGCTAGGATTGTTGTTGTTGTGTTCTTTCAAGTCGTTTCAGACTTAGGTTGACCCTGAGCAAGGGCCGGGTAAATGACCTTGGAGGGCTGTATCCGGCCCCCGGGCCTTAGTTTGAGGACCACTGGTCTAGAGTGTTTCTATAGGACCAAACAGAATGATTTTGTTGTGTGTAGATTGTGTGAAAGGATTGTGGAATCCCAGGTTTGGTTGATTAGGAATCTAGTAACAAAGTGGGGTTGGGGGGCAGTGGGAAAAGACACTGCAGGGCAATCATGAAGAGTTTCTGTGAGTTTTGCAGGCTACATGGCCATGTTCCAGAAGCATTATCTCCTGATATTTCACCCACATCTATGGCAGGCATCCTCAGAGGTTTCGGTTTCTATTGAAAACTAAGTAAGTGAGGTTTACATATCTGTGGAATAATAAGCAGAAGACAGTTCCATCTGGTCTTTACTAATAATATAATATGGTATATTGCATATACATATAATATTTATAACATTATAATGTAATACAATATAATACTAGTAATAATAATAGTATTATAATTATATATTTATATTACGTGTAATGTTATTAATAATATTACAATATAATGGTATAGTGCAATACAGGTAAAGGTTGTCCCCTGACATTAAGTCCAGTCATGTCTGACTCTGGGGTGTAGTGCTCATCTCCATTTCTAAGCTGAAGAGCTGGCATTGTCCATAGACACCTCCAAGGTCATATGGCCGGCATGACTGCATGGAGGGCCATTAGTGCAATATAGTAATATATAATTCTGATATTGTACTATGCTAATAATATAATATAATATAATATAATATAATATAATATATGAAAATATATCTTGTAAGCTGCTCCGAGTCCCCTTCAGGGTGAGAAGGACGGCATATAAATGCGATGAATAAATAAATAAATGTCCACGGTGGGAAAAAAAACTCATGTCTGTTGGAGGCAAGTGTGAATGTTGCAAATGGCCACTTTAATTTGCGTTCAATGGCCTTGCAGCTTCAAAGTCTGGCTGGTTGCTGGGCCTGCTAACACCTCCCAACAAAGGATTCCCCTAAGCAGCAATCAGCCAGGCTTTGAAGCTGCAAGCCATATAACCCAGAAAATCAAGACAAAAAACCAACACTCTGATTAAGAACTCCTCAATCAACTTCGACATACGACAACAGCTATGTAAATCGGAAGCCCTTCCACCTAGGCTTTATGGACTCCCAAAAATCCATAAGGACTCCACCCCGGTCAGACCCATCGTGAGTGCCATTGGATCCCCCACATATGACTTAGCAAAATTTCTTGCTGCACAGTTACAAAGCCATATTGGGCTCACTACACACTACATCAAGGACTCAGCCCACTTCATAGAAAAAATCAGCAATCTCAAGCTAAATACAACGACAAACTGATCAGCTTCGATGTGGTATCTCTATTTACCATGGTCCCGGTAGCAGACACCATGGCACTCATCAACCAGAGGTTCCCAGAAGACATCACGGCTCTGTTTCACCATTGCCTCACCACCAGTTACTTTCAGTGGGACAATGAATTCTACGAACAGAAAGATGGAGTAGCTATAGGGAGCCCTCTCAGCCCGGTCATAGCTAACTTCTACATGGAACACTTTGAAAAACAAGCCCTGGAGACAGCAACCAAAAAGCCCACGATATGGTTCAGATATGTGGATGACACCTTCACCATTTGGAGCCATGGAGAAGAAGAACTCAACAGGTTCCTGGACCATCTTAACAGCATCCACCCAAACATCCAGTTCACCATGGAAAAAGAAAATGAAGGAAGACTGCCTTTTCTAGATGTCCTAGTCATCCGCAAACCAATCAACAATTGGGTCACACCGTTTACAGAAAACCCACACACACAGATAGATATCTACATAAAAACTCCAACCATCACCCAAGTCAAAAAAGAAGCACCATTAAAGCCTTGGCGAACCGTGCAAAAGAATCTGTGAACCCCACCTCCTCCAAGAAGAACTGAACCACCTCAACTGAGCTCTACAGGCCAATGGATAATCCACCTCAGACAACAGAGGAACTGCAAGACCGAGAACAAGCCACGAGAGCTAAAGATGAAGATCCACCCAGAGGAAAAGTGTTCTTGCCATACATCAAGGGAACCACTGACCGCATAGGGAAACTGATGAGGAAACACAACATACAAACCTACAGACCCACCAAGAAAATCCAACAAATGCTACATTCAGCAAAGGACAAGAGGGATCCTCTCACCTCTGCAGGAGTCTACCGTGTACCATGCAGCTGTGGACAAGTCTACATAGGGACCACCAAACGCAGCGCCCAAACACGAATCAAGGAACATGAAAGGCACTGCAGACTACTTCAACCAGAGAAATCAGCCATAGCAGAGCACCTGATGAACCAACCTGGACACAGCATATTATTTGAGAACACAGAAGTGCTGGACCACTCTCACAATCACCATGTCAGACTACACAGAGAAGCCATTGAAATCCACAAGCATGTGGACAATTTCAACAGAAAGGAAGAAACCATGAAAATGAACAAAATCTGGCTACCAGTATTAAAAAACTCAAAAATTACAACAGCAAAACAACAGAGGGGAAACAAACAGGCACATAAAATCACTCTCAACAAAAGGTTCCCCCCAGGCGCTTCCAAGCCATTGAATGCAAATCAAGGTGAAACATTCACAGCTAGCCCCAGCAGACAAAAGTCCTTTGTCTCACCCTGGTCATTCTGTTGGGGTTGCCTTTGAAGACGGCTCGGAAGCTCCAGCTAGTCCAACGCTCGGCAGCCATGATACTAACAGGAGCGGAGCGCAGGGAGCATACAACTCCTCTGCTGCACCAGCTCCACTGGCTGCCGATTTGCTACCGGGCTCAATTCAAAGTGCTGGCGCTGGCCTATAAAGCCCTAAACGGTTCTGGCCCAAGTTACCTATCCGAACGTATCTCTGCCTATCAGCCCAGCAGGACCCTAAGATCTTCTGGGGAGGCCCTGCTCTCTATCCCGCCTGCTTCACAGGTGCGGCTGGCGGGGACGAGAGACAGGGCCTTTTCTGTGGTGGCCCCTCCGGCTGTGGAACGCCCTTCCTATGGAGGTAAGATCAGCCCCCTCGCTAATGGTGTTCCGAAGAAGATTAAAAACTTGGATGTTTGAACGGGCATTCGGTTAAACAGTGCAATGAATGTGATGATTACAGGAATGGAAATTTGGATGACGGATTGGATCACGACTCTAGTTATGAGATGCATTGTGTTGTCTATTGTTGTGTCAATATTGTATATTATGCTTTTATGGTTTTAAATTGTATATCGTTGATTGATTCTTATCCTTGTTGTAAACCGTGTTGAGTCGCCTGTTGGGCTGAGAAACTGCGGTATACAAGTAAAGTAAAGTAAATAAATAAATATATAAACCTAGTTTTTCCTAGTTCCAACAGACCTCATTACCTCTGAGGATGCTTGCCATTGATGGAGGCGAAACGTCAGGAGAAAAATTGCCTCCAGAACATGGCCATATAGCCCGGAAAAACCTACAACAACCCAAGACAAAAAAATCTCACAATGTCTGTTTTGAACTGGGATATATGAGTCCACACTGCTCTATATTACAGTTCAAAGCAGAAAATGTGGGATTTTATTCAGCTGTGTGGAAAGAGCCTCAAGCAGCAACCAGCCAGACTTTAAAGTTGCAAGGCCATTAAATGGTAACTAAGGTGGCCATTTGCAACATTCACACCTGCCTCCAACAGACAAGAGTTCTTTCTCCCACCCTGGACATTATTCCACACAGATATAAACCCCCCTTGCCTAGTTTCCAACAGACCTCACAACCTCTGAGGATGACTGCCATAGATGTGGGCGAAACGTCAGAGGAGAGAATGCTTCTGGAACATGGCCAGACAGCCCGGAACACTCACAGCAACCCAGTGATTCCAGCCATGAAAGCCTTCCCACACACCGTTCCCAGTACCTTCCCTCTCTCCTCCCCTTCACTCTGACGAATCTCACCCAAGCCGGCGTTCTTTCAATGAAGGACTACGGCTCCCGTCGGGCGAGGGACCTTCCGCCGCGAAGCACTGTGGGGATTGTATTCTTTGGCTCTCCCGCGCTCGAGGGGAGTGGAGGGAGGGCCTCCAAGGAAAGAACTACAAGCC